TTGGACTGTGTCAACACGCTTATTAACAGACAAAAACTAGGAACCAACTCCTTTGAACAAATCAGTAGTTTCATCAAGTTGTATTCTGGAGGGAAATGGGATAATTGCCAATTCCTTCAAAACTTCAAATTATTGGAATAAATGATAGGGATCCTAGAATGGATGACATCATCTGAAATTTGACATAAATTTGCTTCTACTCCAAGCTAAGTCAGTTCAAAACTGTCAGCACATAAAACTTAAAGGTCTTTCCAATTTCACGTGGCAGCTTTTCTTGGCAATGTGAAAGTCAATTTTATAGAACCTTTTCAAAAAAGGTTTTTGTGAAAGAACAAATTCAATCACATTTTGGTAGTTCCTAACTAAAACTTCTACTTACAACAAAAAATCCAAACTGTAAGATATATTTAAAAAATGGAAAACTATAAGCTCTTTCAGCTTTCCCAACTTCATACTTAGGTTGGTGAGAACTCTGCCACATTAAAAAACTAAGGCTTCGTGTTCTATCATCTTTGGTGATTAGGTGATTTTATTACTTTCATTTCTTTTTTGTTGTCAAGTTTTTAAAAAGTTGGAATGAAAGATAGTAGTGGGGTAGTTTGTGCCCTCAACATGATGACAATAAATACAGAATTTCCAAATGTGTATAGGAGTGGCCATTAATAAAACAAGATGACTCAAACGAATCTTTCTTTTTCCCAAAACTATTTGAAAAGCAACAGGAAAGGCTCTACAATATATAAAGAATCCTTACCAATCAATACTAAGATGGTCAATTTTTTTAAATGGGCAAAAAGTTTGAATGCTTTACTAAAGAAAATATTTGAATGGCTAATAAGCACATTAAAAGATGCTCAACATCGGGATGCCTGGGTGGCTCAGTTGGTTAAGCTTCTGCCTTTGGCTCAGGTCATGATCCTGGGGTCCTGGGATTGAGCCCTGAGTCGGGCTCCCCACTCAGCGAGGAGTCGGCTTCTCCCTCTGCCCCTCCCCCTGCTCATGCTCTCTCTCTCTCTAATAAATAAATAAAATCTTAAAAAAATAAAAGATGCTCAATATCATTAGTCATCAGTGAAATGTAAATTAAAACCATAAAGAGGGGTGCCTGGGTGGCTCAGTCAGTTGAGCATCTGCTTTTGGCTCAGGTCGTGATCCCAGGATTGGGACTGAGCCCCAAGTCGGGCTCCCTGCTCAGCGGGCAGTCTGCTTCTTCCTCTCCCCCTACCCCTCCCTATCCCGCCCCCTGGCTTATGCTCTCTCTCCCACTCACTCTCTCTCAAATAAATAAAATTTAAAAAAAAAACACACAATGAAATAATACTACATATCCACTAAAATATCTATAATCAAGAAGATTGATCCAAATAAGTGTTGGGGAGGATACAGGGAAACTGGAACCCTTATATGTTGCCAGTGGGAATGCAAAGTAGTACAGCCACTGTGGAAAATAGTCTTGTAATTTCTCCAAAAGTCAAGTATATACCACATAATTCAGCCATTCCACTAAGTACCTACCCAAGAGAAAAGAAAACATATGTTCACACAGACTTATAAGCAAATGTTGATACCAGCAGTGTTAACAGTCCAAAATGGAAAACAATCCAAACATCTCTCACTTGGTGAATAAACAAAATGTGATATTTCCATATACTAGAATATTTCTCAGCAGTAAAAATAAAGGGAAGAACTGAAACACCCACTGACCTTGTGTACTTACCCTGAAGAAATGGTACTTGTCCACCACCCACTACAATAGGGATAAACCTCTAGAGCATTATGATATGCAAAAGACTACATATTATAGGAATCCATTTATATGACATTTTTGGAAAAGATTTAATTATTAGAGGCAGAAAGTAGATTAGTGGTTGCCTGAGGCAGAAGGTAGGAGAAGGGACTGACTGAAAACAGGAATAAGGAAACTTTAAGGGGTGAAGGAAGTAGTCTAAAGCCGGACTGTTATGATGCTATGACACGATACGTGAATTTTATGGTATGTAAAATTTATCACAATAAAGCTTTAAAAAAAAGTAACAGGACAAAAAACAAAGAAAAAGTTGGGGCACATACTTAGTTCTCCATACCATCCATAGACCTTAGGTTAAGAATTTATATATTATCTATACTTGGGCTGATTAAACAGATGATTGTTTAAGCAGATGCTTAACTGACTGAACCACCCAGACACTCTGATTGTTTATTCTTAAACAGGAATTTTCAATAACCTTTCATTACTAGAATTATTTGCCCTCAAACAATTCTTGTAAGAAATCTTGTACCTTTTGTTAACTACAAAATAAACACAACTGTCTACCACAATTCTCAATACAGGGTTAATTTAGTAGCATTACATTCTGGATAGAGAAATGAAGACAGCTAGAAGAGATTATTTTCCTTGTTCATACTCTAGAGCACCTTTGGCACTTTCCCAATTGCTAAGGTGAAGATACATCCTGGCTTATACTATTAAAAATTGTCAGGAAAACTCTGGTTGTCCCCTTTTCATCCTCAAAAGTATCCTGGGTTGGATGATCAATTATACATTCAGCCTGTCTGTAGCAGAATTATCCTCACCCTTAACTTTCATTAACATGAAGGGAAACCCCCTGAAGGCTCTGGAGATCTTAAGTAGGTATAAACAATGCAATCATAAAGATTTCACTGTTAGTCATTTTATAGTTGAGGATCAGGGGCACAGAGAAATTAAAATGAGAAGCCTCAAGCCACATTTTTTAGATTAGAGGGCTTTAATACTACCACCAACACTGTTTATAGAGTCAGTATTTCTGGTGGACAAGTACCATTTCTTCAGGGTAAGTACATTTTTCTCTCTGAGGTGGTACTTTTACTATTTTCACCATTTCACAGATGAGAGAAGAGCTTTGAGAAGCTAATTACCTTGCCTAAGGTTATAAGGTGGTTAAATGGTGAAACTGGGATATAAACCAAGGTCTGCTTGACTCCAAACTTGTTTCGTAACCTCTAAGCATAATGCCTCTCCTGAAAGGGAACACGGGTATGGGTGTGGGTACATATGTGTGCGCCTGTGCGCCAGGTATCCAAAGTGGTTCTCCAACTGAGGGTCCGTGAGCTGGTTTGAGGGAGTCTGCGTCACTAAGAAATTATGTGTAAAATTTCCTGTGTATATATATAACTTTTCTCTAAAGAAAGAGTCTAGAGCTTTCACCAGATCTTCAAAAGTATTTGTGATGTAAGAAAAACTAAGAACCTTTTAGACTGCTTTGGTAAGAAGGTTAAACACTGGGTGCTCGGGTGGCTCAGTTGGTTAAGCGGATGCCTTCGGCTCAGGTCATGATCCTGGAGTCCCAGAACTGAGTCCCGCATCGGGCTCCCTGCTCGGCGGGGAGTCTGCTTCTCCCTCTGATCCTCCCCCTCTCATGCTCTCTCTATCTCATTCTCTCTCTCAAATAAATAAATAAAATCTTTAAAAAAAAAAGGTTAAACATTTAAGATAATATATACCCTTTATATCAGGTATTATAGTCATGATTAGAAGATCCGTCAAACAACACAATAAGCAATTACTGAAAGGAAGTATAGACAAGGCATGTATACGAGTTACATATATATAATGTGGTATTTTAGATTTTGTATTTTTTAAAAATGGGGGTCCTCATTTAATACAGAATATGATCCAGCAGCCTCAACTAAGAGCAATGAATGACAGCAGAGATGTTTACTACTGAAGTAGTAGCTGTGTATTAGGCAATTTTCTCATATGCTATACAGACCTAAGGTAAAATTGGTTTAGAAGTAAAAATAAGAAAGATGTATAATTTGGGGATAGTAAGGACAATGAGTTGCATTAAATCAATTATGTGCTTCTATTTCTTGATAACTAATAAGGAGTTGGTTTTCTTAGGTAGGGCAATAGTATTGGTAGGAATTTGGGCTGTCACTTTTTTTTTTTTTTTGAAGTACGTATCTTTTCAACCCCTTATGCAACATAGGGCAACCTACTAGCATTTATGTCCTAGAATAATATTCATCCAGATACCCCAGTACAACTGTACCATTGTTACATTATTGAAATACTTCCATATGGGGTAATAGCAACTGCGTAAGTTTAAACAGCTTTGGGTGGGGGGAGGGTTCTGATAACAATGCAAATATCTATTCTGAGGAGTAAGAGGGGATCCTAGGACTTTCAAAATTCCTCTGAGGCTTCTTCACTTTAGGTGTCTATAAGTTTGCTAGATGCTCTTTTGACGGTTGCTTTGTCTATAAATTAATGTTTATAAGGTTGAAATTTGAATTCTATCAAACTAAACTTGATACAGAGGAAATATATACAACATTCAACCCTAAGCAAACAATATAAACTGTAGATGTGCAATACTGGGTAAGAGAAATGACAGTAAGGTTGTAAACACATTCCCCCACTACTGTAACAACAACCACGCCTCCATCCTGTTGCCAGTTTGCAGCATCATGTACATTCACAAAGGACTGTATGTGGTCCCCAAACATCTGTTCATTCTTTCTCACATCAAAGAGGGGTATCACAGCCCTGAGTTTAAGGGAAGGAAAAAACAATCAGGGCAGGAGGTCTCAGATTTTGAATTGCTTCTGTCTAGGCACCGATGATACGAAGGGGCTGGAGAGTTTGATCGTGATCCATAAAAGGAAGGTCCAATGGTTAGGGAAAACTAAAGATGGTGCTTCTGTGATCTTCACATTACCTATGTGCCCAGTTTTAAAACATAAATGAAAAGATGAGATAATAACATTCCATGATCTATGAAAATTTGATGGGTCTATTTAGTTTTTCTTCCTGATCTCTCCTCTAAATTCACTGCATCTTCATTCAAATTTTATTTCTCTTCTTTAACACTGCCCCACCCCCATCTTCTCTGTCTGATTCCAAGTCCATCTTAAGTGAAGGAGTATGATTTATAAATTTATATGTTAGAGAATGAAAAATATTGAGTTAAGGAAAAAAAATATACATAAAAAATGGATTTGCCAAAACTCACCATCAGAGGGCACAACAGTACTGCAATAAACAACTCCCAAATTCTGCCAAGAAGAGAGCCTCTGGTGCACCTAGAAAATACAAAAAGACACATCCACGGTCAGGACAGAGCAACAAATGTGTATGTATATGATAAATAACTTTTTGATTATTTAAGTAATATGTATTCTTTGTAGAAAAGTTTGAAAATATAGTTTAAGAAAGTCAAACTCATATCATCTTAAGATCATAGTGATGAATATTTTGGTTTGTTTTCAAAATTTTATACAAACATATTTACATATACACACATCACACAATTGCTTTTTCATCTACTTTTTAAGCACTCAATATTGGTTTTAAGGGCTACCAAGTCTAAACTAAACTTTCATGTTTCCTCCTCTTGCTAGCTTTTAGACCTGCACTTCCTTCATACCTACGTGTTAAGTAGTTGTATCATGAATTTGCTGTTATTGGGTTGAGATCTAGTCTTTCTGTTCACTTTCCTTTTCTTTTCTTTTTTTTTTTTTTTTAATTTTAAAACTTGGTCAAGCAGCCTCACTCCTAGAGTCCCTAGTAATTTCCTTTTTCTGAATATAAGAAGGAAATCACTTATAATCTTACTACCTTCTCCAATGTATTGTCATTTTGTAGATTTAGGTCTAGAATTTAGTTTCTCACAATTAAACTAAGTTTCAAAAAGAATATTAAATGTTTTTGACTTGTCAAATGATTGATTTATCCCTTTGTACCTTTTACTTTCCCAGCCACAGCAAGTATTAAGGGAAGGCATTAACTGACTAAAAAACAATGTCTGCCTCTGAGGCAGATACTATATTCCACTCCAGCCCTAAAAAAGAAAAATCATTTAGGACTCTATGACAAGATGTATCTTAACTCAACCATGATGTGTAACAGGCTTTATATCCTTCATGTGAACATCAATTCCCGCCTCCTTCCAACCTAAGAAAGCACGCAGAAATATGAGACTGACATTTACTAAAAATGTAAATACAGCAGTCCCCTCTTACTCACAGGGGCTATGTCCCAAGACCCCTCAGCGGATACCTGAAACTACATAAGGTACCGAACCCTGTATGTTTTTTCTTATACATACATACTTAAAAGTTTAATTTAAGAATTAGGCACAGGAGATTAGCAACAATAGCTAATGATAAAATAGAACTGTAAAAATATACTGTAATAGTTAAATAAATGTGGTCTCTCAAAGTATCTTACTGTACTGCATGCACCCTTCTTGTGATGATGTGAAACAATAAAAATGCCTACATGAAGAGATGAGATGAGGTGAATGACGTAGGCACTGTGACCTAGTGTTAAACTACTAATGACCTTCTGACCATATGTCAGAAGGAAGAGCATCTGCTTTTGGACTGCGGTGGACTGTGGGTAACTGAAAGTGAAACCACGGATAAGGGGGGACTACTGTAATCATTTGAAATTACTAGACTTAGTTCATAGCTGATCATGATACTCTAATGTGTTTGCATGCTGTTGAGAATCTTTAAGTTAATACATACAATTACTACACTGTGACTTTCAGACTTTTTTTTTTTTAAGTTTCAAAACATTTAGTTAAATTTAATTTTACACACTGATTTGGGGATGCTCTGGTTAAAGATGGATGTGCTGGGAAACCCCACAATCCCGATCCTCTGCTTGAGCCCCGTAAGGGGATCCAAAGAATTCTGGGACTTCATAAAGTGGTTTGAAAACTAATGATGAAGACAGGGGAAGATGAATCCTACCCCTTATTCTACAAATGAGAAAAGTGAGACCCACAGAGGGAAAGTGACTAAGAGTCACACATTAGGCAGAATCAGGATTTAGAATCCAGGTCTCAATACTGCTAACCATCTCCTACACAAAACACACAGGGCCTTGGTCTTATCCTCTGCAGGTCTTTTTATTCGACTATGCTTAGGTACCTTCTAGCAATATAATTTTATTTAAAATGCTTAAGTTATTTCTTTTGAATAGATAAAACAGGTACATGATTTAAAATTCAAAAAACAAAAGCTGAATAAAAATTAAGGCTTTTACTCTTAATGTTGGTCTTCCTCACATCCCTGTGGCCCAGCAACACAGTTCTCTCCAGAGGTACCTCGTTAAATCTGAATATCCTATCAAAGACAGTGTTATACATATACAAGCTTGTGTGTGTGTGTGTGTGTGTACAGTGTTACACATATACAAGCTTGTGTGTGTGTGTGTGTGTGTGTGTGTGTGTATTTGCAGAGATTTTTAAAAACACAAATGGTAGTATGCTAGAGTTCCATTACTCATCTGGCTTTCTTTTTAACTTAACTCACTACTTTTAGTGACTGAATAAAATTACATTGGTTAAATAAATTTTATGGTACATTTTTATGATTGCCTATTGACAGACAACCTTTTATTATTTTAACACATGACACTAGAATAAATATCCTTACGTGTAGGTACCAATATTGGAGGATAAAATACTTCAAGTGCCAAGTTAAAGGTACATACACTTTAAATTTTGAAAGCTATTACCAAATTGTTTTTCATGGAAATTAACATGAATTCACATACCTACAGATTGCCAGTGTCAAAGCTGAGCAGTATTTCACTATAGCTATAATTTTCATTTTTTGTATTAAAAGTGAAAAATTTTACATATTTTTATCTATGAGTTAATTGTATTTGCTTTTCTAGGAACTAAATATTTACATCCTTTGCCCTTTTTTCAATTTAGTTCTTGGTCTTGGAATATTATTTTGTAGAAGTTCTTTAAATACTAAGAAAATTAGCCCTTTGTCAACAGAACACGTTGCAATCTTCTCTTTAACTTAAGGGGCCTGTGTCATAAATCTTAGAGGCCTTCCCTACTTTGAGAATATTATATAACATTCTCCGTTTGCTTCTTTTAGTTTAATTTTTCAGGTTTAAATCGTTGATTCATTAGGAATTAATCTTGGTTAAAGTTAAGTAGAAATCCAACTAATTTCCCACTAATAACACAGGTGGTCCCATATTTAAATAATTTATTTTCCCCTCTTATTTGAAATGCTACCTTTGTAATTTTCTAAATCCCTATACAAATTTAGATCTTTTTCTGAATTACTATTCTGTCCACTGATCTGTCTGCTCATGCCCTAGTGACTACATTATTTCAACATTCTAGCTTTGTAATATATTTTAGTATCTGGGAGGGTAATAGGCTAGTTTTCCCTGATTACTTTCCTTTAAGAATTTTCCTGGTTATTCTTCAACTCTTGAACTTAGAGTCAGTTTGTCTAGTGACACAACACAAACACACAATCCCATTAATTTCAAAAGCAGTATAATAGCATAGTGGCTAAAATCACAGAATTTGTAATCACCCTGCCTGAGTTTAGATTCTGATTCATAACCTACTCTAACCTCAGCTTGGAATAAGTTCATTAGTCTCTTTGTGCCTCAGTTTCTTCACTGAAAAATGGACAAAGAATAATACTAGTACCTACCACATAAACTCGCTGCAAGGACTAAATGTAATACATATAAAGTATTTAGAACAGTGCCTGGCATAGAGTAACTGCTTAATAAATGTTAACTAGTTTTTTGCTTGTTTGTTTTTTATTTTGAAATTGAGATCACATTAACTCCAATTAACATAAGGGAAACTGATTTCCATAAGATTTTGAGTCTTCATATCCAAAAACCTTGTAAGCCTTTCCAGTTAAGTCTGTATTTGCGTCACTGAGAAACATTTTAAGGTCTTCTTCACACAGATCTTGTCTTTATGTCCCTTTCCCTAATGAAATGCTTCTTGTACTAAGTACTAATTGTACTAATCTTGTCCAATAATAAGCTCATGGCCCCTACACTTGTTTTTAGTTTGTATATGCCTGTGATGCTTTACCTGCCCTCTAATTTTGTTATTCTTCTGGAGTTTGTTTTAGAAATGATTCTAAATAATTTTTTTGTGGGCGCCTGGGTGGCTCAGTTGTTAAGCGTCTGCCTTCAGCTCAGGTCATGATCCCAGGGTCCAGGGATCGAGCCCCGCATCGGGCTCCCTGCTCAGCGGGAAAGCCTGTTTCTCCCTCTCCCACTCCCCCTGCTTGTGTTCCCTCTCTCGCTGGCTGTGTCTCTCTCTGTCAAATAAATAAAAATTTTAAAAATCTTAAATAATTTTTTGTGATCTAATCTGGGAATCGTTTAATGGGAAAGTTTAGCCTACTTACATGTATTAATGTAATATATATTTAATCTTTCAGTCATCAAATATTATGCTATAAAAACTTAACGCTTTGTTTTTATTGCTGCTCTTTCTTCTTCAAAATAGTTTACTAAGTGGTTTGGGCTTGCTTTATTTTAGTTACACGTTTTTCTTCTGATAATATGGAAAGTTTAATTTGGTTTAGTAGTTATTTCAGAGTAAAAGTCTAAGTTCTTTTAACTGTCTTTAAGGCCTGATGTTATCAGATACCCTATTATCTCTCGGACTTCATCTCTTATCCCTCTCCCTCTCAATTATTCTGCTTTAGCCCCTCAAGACTCTGTCCTGTTTCTTGTATGCACCAGCTATGCTCCTGCTTCAAGACTTCTGCAATAGTTATTATTTCTGATCAGAATATTATTTCTCCAGGAAACTATCAGGCCCCCTCACTTCCTTCAAATGTTTCCTCAAATTTCACTTTCTGAGTGAGGCCTACTCTGGCTACCCATTTAAAATGTCCATCCCAGCAGTTAAGATGGCAGAGTAGTTGGGGGACCCTAAGTTTGTCTTGTCCCTCGAATACAACTACATCGTTATCAGATCATTCTGAACACCTGAGAAATCAATCGGAGATCTGAAAATACAGATGCTGTAAGTCTACAAGTAGAAAAGAGACCACAGTTTGGGAGGTAGGAGGTGCGGAGACTTCAATCCGGTGTGATATAGCTGATGATATGGCGGAGGGATGGGAGCCTGCTTAAGGAGGCTACTGTGAAGTATTCTAAGCAGTGGAGTGCAAAATCAGAACTTTTAGAAGTCTGCTACAGCGGGGGGGAGGGAGGGCGTCCCTGGCTCAAAGGTGCTCAGGTGGCAAAGTGGGGCAAAATCCCAGGTGTGACAGTATGG